CAAGAAAAGTCACCACTCTCGGTTAAAGAAATTTTATTCCCGGATAATTTCAATTGTTCGTAACTTACTATTAATTCAGTACTATCCCGTGTAGTCGAAGGAAGGATTGAAAAACCGGACCGATTAAATGAACTATTTCCACCAGAATTGTTACTGCTCCGTCGCTGCTTCAAGACTGTTTAATTTTGGTTTTTCTGACATTTTTATATGAATTTTGGGGTCACTTGTCACATGGGCTCAAACGACTCCATTTTTAATTGGTGGAAAATGTCGTATGACTTTTCCCACTCTTGATTTTTATGGGGAAGTAGTTTATTCGGTTTTTGGGGTCTTAATTAATCTGTTTGCAATCGTTCCTTCGCGTGCGAATCTTAGTATTGGGTAATTGGGGCATGCTGAGTGTGCCATTTCATCACTTTTGAACTCGATTCCAATGTCTTTGGAATTTTTAATCGAGTTCAAGTGATGAAATGCACTCAATTTAGTTTACAATTGTTGGTTTGGTTCTTAATGATTTCACATAAAATTATTCTAGCCTTAAAGTTTCTCGTACAAAATTTTGGACATTACAGTTAAATCAAGATTTAATCAACAGGTCCCGCGATCAAGCCAAGGTTGACCCACAGTCAACCCAAGGTTGACCCATAGTCAGCCCAAATTTGACCCGTGGTCAAACCAAGGTTGATCCATGGTCAAGCCAAGGTCGACCCATGGTCAAGCCAAGGGCGATCTATGGTCAAGCCAAGGCTGATCCACGGTCATGCCAAAATTGACCCATGGTCAAGCCAAGGTTGACCCATGGTCAAGGCAAGGTGGACCCGTGGTCAAGCCAAGGTTGACTCGTGGTCAAGTAGTGTTTCCCGATACCCAAAAAAATATCGGTACTCAGTATCGTATCGAAGCAGATTACTTGGTATCGATACCACAAAGTATCGCCTTGGAAAATATTGATACTCGTGATATCGATCTTTTTAAAAATTGTGGATGACACTGGCAAATGAAAAAAATTAAAGTTGAAGAATGTCGCGTTAAAAGACCTTAAACATTCAGATTCATTCACGTCAGGATATCCCAGTATTGTTTACAATTTGGTACAGACCATTCTATACATTCCGCCACTTTCAATCATCAAATTTGTCCATTAAATTACGCAAGGAAAAATTGAGGTAAGTTATGAATATTCAGTGTCATTCACATTACGTTTTGCACAGAATTATTATTTTCTTCATTCGAGGGTGGAACGTCATGAGAGTCACTAGGGAATGATCAAATTTTACGAGGGTTAAACTCTATGAAAGCCACAAGGGAGACGATTAAATTTCATCAGTCAACCGACACGAGGGTCATATGAGAATGGTCAAATTTTACGACGATCACAAGGGGATGGTCAAATTTCACGAGGGTAAAACAGCAAGAGGGTCGCGAGGAGACGGTCAAATTTCACGAGAGTCAACCGACACAAGAGTCATACGGGGATGGTCAAATTTCACGAGGGTAAAACAGCAAGAGGGTCGCGAGGAGACGGTCAAATTTCACGAGAGTCAACCGACACAAGAGTCATACGGGGATGGTCAAATTTCACGAGGGTAAAACAGCAAGAGGGTCGCGAGGAGACGGTCAAATTTCACGAGAGTCAACCGACACAAGAGTCATACGGGGATGGTCAAATTTCACGAGGGTTGTTACATCGTAGCACCTGCGAAGGTCTGCTGCCGCGTTCACATGCTGGCGGCAAGCGGCGGCGGCATGTTACGGGCGCCGTTGTCACTGGTATGTGCCCGCGCTGACGGTTATGGGTAGGCGGTAAATGGTGGCAGCACCTTCTCGTTCGACGGGGGGACGCACGCCGACGGACACTATGGCGTCAGTTAGTTGAAACCGACACTGAAACGTGTATCGAGCTCTAACAAAATATCAAATCTCATCGAGTCATCACGACTTTAAACAAAACGAACCCAACGGGTTCATCAACTGAAATGATTAAACAACGACTAGTGCACTAGTGAAACGAAGTTTTGATAGCAAATGGCTACAAAATAACGATCGAACGAACGATTACCCAACGGCACGAAATCACACGATTTCGTGCCTCCACGTGGCACACAAGCGCTTACAAGGACGCAACTAACGATTGCGCCAATCGACCCGCAAATTAGCCTGCGTTATTAAGGTTTTAGTGTAGGTTAATATTTATATGTGTGGACACGTGCTAACCGTTATCACAAATAACTAAAATAACCAACAACTACATTGTATTGTATGTATGTGTGTGTGTGAATCATCGTGTGTGTCACCGCCATTCGCAGTGAACCCTCCAAACTTAGTGTATTGATAATAAATCTGGGTTTTTTAGGCCGAAAGGCTTTTTTCCACAGTGTTCTTTTTTTTTCTACAATTTAATGCAGCTATCATACCACCTAGGGTATGATAGCCTCCAACGTCNTCTTATTTCCAAGAAAAGTCACCACTCTCGGTTAAAGAAATTTTATTCCCGGATAATTTCAATTGTTCGTAACTTACTATTAATTCAGTACTATCCCGTGTNCAAATTAGCCTGCGTTATTAAGGTTTTAGTGTAGGTTAATATTTATATGTGTGGACACGTGCTAACCGTTATCACAAATAACTAAAATAACCAACAACTACATTGTATTGTATGTATGTGTGTGTGTGAATCATCGTGTGTGTCACCGCCATTCGCAGTGAACCCTCCAAACTTAGTGTATTGATAATAAATCTGGGTTTTTTAGGCCGAAAGGCTTTTTTCCACAGTGTTCTTTTTTTTTCTACAATTTAATGCAGCTATCATACCACCTAGGGTATGATAGCCTCCAACGTCAATTCAATCTAGCGTATCAAGAATTGTAAACATGCGAACTTATTCGACCTGCTCTATAACATTAGATTCTAATAACATTTCGCAGCTTTCGCCGGGAGTATGTTACATCGTAACACCTGCGAAGGCCTGCTGCCGCGTTCACATGCTGGTGGCAAGCGGCGGCGGCACGTCACGGGCGCCGTTGTCGCTGGTATGTGCCCGCGCTGACGGTTATGGGTAGGCGGTAAATGGTGGCAGCACCTTCTCGCTCGACGGGGGGACGCACGCCGACGGACGCTATGGCGTCAGTTAGTTGAAACCGACACTGACACGTGTATCGAGCTCTAACAAAATATCAAATCTCATCGAGTCATCACGACTTTAAACAAAACAAACCCAACGGGTTCATCAACTTAAATGATTAAACAACGACTAGTGCACTAGTGAAACGAAGTTTTGATAGCAAATGGCTACAAAATAACGATCGAACGAACGATTACCCAACGGCACGAAATCACACGATTTCGTGCCTCCACATGGCATACAAGCCGCGCTTACAAGGACGCAACTAACGATTGCGCCAATCGACCCGCAAATTAGCCTGCGTTATTAAGGTTTTAGTGTAGGTTAATATTTATATGTGTGGACACGTCTCTAATCATCGTTCAGCTTTGAACACCTTCGATAAAAAATTCTTCGATTTAGACTGTTTGATCAAAAATGATCCAGTCCAGAAAACCTTGGGAATCATATGGGATGCCCAGAATGATCTGTTGCGGTACACTTTGAATTAGGTTGATACTAACGTTGCTGCAACAAAACGTAAACTCCTCTCTGAATTGTCGAAAA